CAAGAAGAAGCCTCTGGTACGAAACGGATCGTTTTGGTCGTCGTCGTCACCGGCACCGGGAAGAGAGGGGAGAATCTGGAGGACTTGGAGAAGAGGCGTCCGGTGCTCGCCGGTGACTTTGGAGTCTTTATTACCGGCGTTTTCGATGAGCTTTGACAGAACGCCGGGGGTGAGAGACGCCATTGTTATCAATTTAATATCAACGACGACATGGGAGGAGGATTTCTTGTTTCTTGCAAGCTCAAGAACAGGGCCTGATTTTAACCAGTGTGAAAATTTTAATTAAAAAAAAAAAAAAAACGGAAAAGGACACGTGTCGGAAGGAGAAGGAGGCTTGACCTAGAGATATACGAAGTTTGAAAAGTGAAAAGGAGATGTAACAGAGCCCGGTTGCCGAGATTCATGCCCATCCTTCACTACAGACAAACGTATCTCCATCGCTTCACTTTTTATTTATTTATTTATTTATTATTATTATTTATAAATTTATAATAAATTCATTTTTCAAATATAAACCCATTTTCCAATGCTCTTTAATAACAAAATCTAATTGGTTGAATCTATGGTAACACCTATGGTTATGGGTTATTTTTTTAAAATTATTTTCTCGATAATTGGTCGACTAAGAATGCATGAACTTTATAGTTTTAATACCGAGATGGGTGTAACATGTCAAGTCCATTATCAGTAAATATTGTCTTTTTTAGGTGTTATATTTTCACATCACAAATGTTTGTGATGATGATAAAAGAGATTGGTAGAAACCAACAACCACGAGACTGGGAGAACTTGTGAATGTTTTAAGGGAAGATGTCCAGATAAGATCAAGATTCAAGAGTGTAGTCTAGGGAGAGTCTATATTTGAGACGAACCCTTATGTCCCGTATTGGTTGGGGAGGAGAACAAATCACCATTTATAAGGGTGTGAAAACCTTCCCCTAACAGACGCGTTTTAAAGTCTTGAGCGGAAGCCCGAAAAGAAAAGCCCAAAGAAGACAATATATGCTAGTAGTGGATATGGGTCGTTACAGTACATTTCAATTTTCCTTTTAGATAGAGTTTGATGTAACGGATGAGGTGGAGATGCATGTGGGCTCTATCAAATATAGGGGTACCGTCACACTTGAGTCTAAATTTCCTTTTGTACTTATCTTATAAATCTTGTATTTCATATATTTAAATAGTTTGATCGAGTAGTATGGTTTATCTCTTCTTTTTTTATTAAAATTTTACCATCACATTTCATTGATTAAAATAATTATAAATTTGTATTAAAATGTAAAAAGTTTGTATTTAAAACTTTGCAAAATATCATATTTGTTTTTAAAATTTTATTTTAAAGATTGTACAAATCACATCGGATTATTGGTTGAGAAACTCGAATATAGTTCACAACCCAATCCAAATAGGATTGAATTGGATTGTTCCGTTCTTATATTTTTAGTTTTAAAAAGATCATATTTATCCACAATAAATGTAATATTAATAATTAAAATCTCATAAAGCCTATGCACTGCATTACTTACCTTGGTTACAAACTTCAAATATTCTTAATTTTCGTAATAATCTTAAAACTAAGATAGGGTTGAGTTGTAACCCTATTTTCGAATTGGTTGGGTTGACCTTAAAAAAAATGTCAAATCCATGAACTGACATGAGCTCTCAGTTTTTCAAAAATTTAACCCCTGTTAAATCTAGAATAGATCATATTTATATATAGTAAGATAATCTAGTGATTTACTAGTTTGTTACCAAATCTATGATTATTTCATTATACACATCTATAAATACATGAGGTCGTGACCCTAGATCATTGTGCCATTCAACCTAACATGAACTCTCAGTTTTTGTAAAAAATGTCAAATCCACGAACCGACATGAACTCTCAGTTTTTCAAAAATTTAACCCCAACCTAGTTGGAAAAAGAATCTGACTCAACTTAAGTTTTATGATTTTAATTAGATAGTGAGGTTATTGAGTCATATAAACACTTGTATTTCTCAAAAACTCGCACTAAAAAGACCTCCTACACCATCACACGAAGTGGTCGTATATGAAGTTAGTCAACCAAAACTTGTAAAAATTCATGTTTAATCTATGTTGGTTATGAATTAATTTTTACCCTTCGTAACCTACAAGGTAACAAAGCAGTAGAAGATATCTAAGAAACCCAATTAAAGAAGACATTAAGCACAACCCTGTTGAACCAAGCAAAAGGCAACATCATTACTCCTTCATTTGAATGAAAAGATGTTTGGTAATACTTATGAAAATTACACCAACCCATAATGCACCTGATTTGTGACCATTTTTCTTTGTAAACAACAAACAATCTCTAAACAAAAACGACTCTACACCTTTTTGAAATGCGTTTAAAAACCACCACCTTCATTGTTTCCTAAGCAATCTCATTCAACCTTTGATTATATATTTATATTTCATTTGTGAAGCATATGGGAGAATAAGAGCATGTCTCATAAACGCCATTATGATATCTCCATGTCAAAGAGAACAAGAAAGCCAGCCAAAATCCAAGATGAGATTCAAACCGGCACATCGAACAATGACGATCAATACGAGAGGTTTGGCACAAAAGAGTTCGAGAACAACGACCATAAAAGCTTAAAACAGCTCATCAATGGGGAAGGAAAAACGGAAATAGGGTCGGACGAGAGGAACGGAGAAAGGAACTCGCTCGGAAAACACTTTAGTGAGGAAGAGATCAACAGTCTTCAAATTGTGAAGAAACAACATGAAGATGGACTACATGGAGTGAAGCTGAAAAAAGTTGTCGGAAAATTTTTGAGAAATTTGATCAAAGGTGATGGTGATCGACACCAGCTGATGAAGAAGGCAATTATAAAAAAATCTTTCCCCTAAACACATTATTTCTTAATGATTGTATATGAAACTATATAATATTGTATAAAGTTTATTGTTCCAGTTCTCTTTTTATATCATACATTTTAAACCTAACTTATTTATGTTTAAATTGTTTATAATATATAAAAGACGTTAAAATACATAGTCAAATTCAATAATTATGCCAACCAATGGTGTATTTATTTTAGAAATAAAAATATTTAAATATTTAAAATTAATTGAAAGATTTTCATTTAAAAAATGTAGTGTCCTGTAATCTCTTTTCGATTGGTAAGGTGCGAGCATGGGTTGGGAGGCAACGCTACAACGTCCTGAGCCCGTGTTTAATGAGGTTCGTGCTGGTCTCCGCCCAACCGAAGTGTACGGGGGAGAGCGCACGGGTTGGGATGCAATTTTGGGCCAATTCACGACAAAGAAAGGCCCATATTATCATCACAAGAAGCCCAAAAGGCTATCTATCTAAAAAGCCCAATTGTTATCTCGTAGTGGTAACAGAGCCCAATTTCCTAGCATCCGCTCCGCATGGCCCATTGGACAATTCTGGACCCGCTCCCAATTCACTTCATTAAGATTAAATTTCAATTTTGAATTTTTTACGGTTTGGTAAAAATCAAGTATTTTTATATTTTAGGCTTAATTAATAAAATACAATATTTTTTTCTCTCTAAAAAACATTTCAAAATTTTTATAACTTCCAATAATATTTTAAAACTAAAAAAAAAAAAAACCTAAAAATACATTTAAACTTAAAAAATTAAAAAATATAATTACACTAAATAGTTAATACTTTGTTTCAAAAATACATTTTAAAACTTTAGAGAGTGTTCAAAAGTTTTATTAATATACTTTTACTTTTTTAAAAAAATTAAAATATACTCTTATCTTAAGAGTAACGTTCAAAGTTTAGAAATAATTTATGAAGTATTAATAAATAATTTTTATCTATATAGACGGTAATATATATATATATATATATATATATATATATTTTTTGTAAGAAATCTCATATTCTTATGCATTAAGATTTTCTTTTATTTATTTATTTATATTTTGGTGTTAGAAGTGAAGCAACTTTTTGAGGGAATCCCAACACAACACATGACTCCAATTGGTCAGCTATTGTTGTGTTCTTGTCTTCTTTGTCTAAACAACATTAAAATATATATATATATATATATAAAAGCGTGGAAATAAAGGTGAAATGTCCAGTCAAGACCGAATGAGACGGAATGAGACCGAAGAGAATAGAAGAGAAGAGAAAACGAAATAAAGAAACATTTATTAAAGCTTAGGCGACTTGACTTTTTTTTTTTAATAAAATTTACATTTATATTATACACGATAATAAATATTATTTTGAAGTTTAAGAATTAAATTAAATGAAAAAACAAAAATAAAATATTTAAAAGTTGTACATAAGATGCTAAAGTTGGCTTTAAACCCATACAAAGACGGTAAGGAAAAAAGACTTGATTTTGTAATTAAATTACTATTATTAAAAAAGAATATTCTACACACTAAGCTTCGTCATGGGTCACGATTTAATTAACACCATTAATTTTTTTTTTTTTCCTCAAAAGACACGTGTCAATGTTTTACTGGGTTACTCCAATCACAAAATTTAAAATGTTTTTTTCCCCAAAAAAGTAAGTGATAAAATGACGTGGCCCTCGTGTTTTCCACCTGCCATCTCCTTTTTTGCCTTCCAATTTTGCTCTGACTTTTTGCTTTTTAATAATTACTTTTTTAATGACATGTAAAAACGGGATTGCCTAGGTCGCTTCATGGTCGGTCGTACGTGGCGGGCTTCTATTGGGTAGTAGTTTAGCCACCACATCCTTTGGAATTATCTCGTTTAATTTTTCCAATTTTAATGTCTAAAATGCATTATTTAGTATTTTATATTTAAAAAGTTTGATAAAAATATTTTAATAGATCGAGATTGGTAACGATGTGGGTGGAACAAGCATACTGCTACGTGGAGAGATAAAAGTAAGGAATCCCAAGTTCTCCCGAGTATTATAAAGCCTCGTAGCCACATAAATTTTCACACCACACCTACCAAAACAAACACAATTTCTTCCTAAATCCTTTGTAAGCTCTCGAAGTAGTCAGCCATGGCTGTCAATGGAGACTCCTCCACCTCAAATTCCGACTCTCAGCCCACTTTTCCTCTTCATCTCTGCTTCTTCTTTCTCATCCTCTTCATGTTCTTGGCCTTCTCTTGGCACTCGACTTACGAGTCCGCTGTTGAAGGCGTTTTCGATCAGCTCAAGCTTCTTCTCATCGTCTCGCCACTCCTCCTCCTCCTCCTCCTCCACTGGCTCTCCAATGGTGAAAACGGCCGCCTACCGCCCCTCGTCCCCCTACCGGAAAAGGACTCGCTCCACCGCGCTGGAGGGACACCGTGGGGAGTTGGGTTTATGTTGGTTATTCTTCTTTTCATGATCTCTTACCAATCTTACTTCCAAGAACGATGGTTTCCTCTGTTGAGTCGGTGATCGGATTGTATATCGGAAAGTCCAATCTGTTGTCTAGTTGTCGTTGAAGAATATTCTCTTGGGATTCTGTTTTTTGAAGAACAAGAGTTTAAGTAGAGATGTGTCGGATCTTGTCAGCATAATATTTGTTTATGTTCATCGTTAATGTAATTATTATTATTTTTTTCTGATTTAGATATAATCATATGCATAGATCAAGGCTTTAAATAAAGTTCTTTACTTTTATTTTTCCACGAAGTGCCCTATTAAACCCTAATACTTGCTTAATCTATTGGATTAGTAATCTTAATAGCTTAAATTATACGTCTCGTCATTCATTCATCACGCATCTTGGAATCAAATTTATACCATTATACCCAATCGAGTCGTGCAACGTTAACTACATAAATCAATAAATCAACACATGGTATAACGTCTCATGTCCAAAATTCAGATTAGGATTTAGAATTCGAATTTGATACTTGATAGAGCTAACATTCTCTGACACATAACCATGTTACAAACTAACACGAGCTCTTTTGGTATTTTTTTCCCCTCGTTTGCATGGAAAATTTTCGGTTCACACAACATTAGAATACTCCAAGCCAAGCATGCTTAATTTTGGATGTTTTATGATTGTGTCATCGAAAATGAAGATACAGCTTGTTGGTACATGTAGTAACTTCGGTTCTTTTGACTACTCTAAGGTATTGGTAAAAGTAACATTTTTTCTGATCCCGAACAAGTTAAGATTAGATGTAATTGGTAAAAGAAATTAATTGGAATTGGAACAATTAAGAGGAAGCTCCAAATGTGAAGATGTGGGTGAAAATTCATTTATGAAGTTGAAGCCATTGAAAACATTAATTACAGTGGTTGAACGGTAATTAAAGCATGTTGGGAGGGTTAATGGTTTGAATCCTAATTATCCAAATATCCCATGAAAATATATATATATATTTATTTATTTCAATTTTAATTTATTATAGTTGATGTTTTCCGTACATGTCATTGGGGTGTTGGATAAAGATGGGAGAAAAAGAAAATGAGAATGGTGGGTAGCGAGATTCGAACGATGGCGGGGAGAACAAAATTTGAGGAAAGCTACAATCTACCAAATAAAGTGAAGGGAATGGCGGACGGACCCACAGGGGCAGCCCTGCCACTAACCACAACCACTGCGCTAAAACCCAATTTCAAAATCGCACCCAAATTTCCAAAATCTCTCTTATCTTTACCCAATTTTTAGGGGCGGGATCGATTGGAACGCCAAAATTCAGCGGTACGTCACTTCAGGTGTGGTAAAAACCATGTCCTCCGCCTCCGCCGCCACCGCCGCCGCCGCCGAACGGCACACCTACTGGTGCCACGAGTGCGATATGAGCGTCACTTTGGTATCTCCTTCTTCGTCTTCTTCGTCTTCTTCGTCTTCTTCTTCTTCTTCTTCTTCCTCTCTCCTTTGCCCTCACTGCCTCACTGACTTCCTTGAACACATGGATTTCACCATACCCACTTCTTCTTCTTCAATTTCCGACCACCCCGGTTCCTCTTCTTCTCCTCCAGATTCCGATCCGTCATCCTTCGTCATCGTCGACCCTCTTCCGACCACCTCCGATGACAATTACCTCCTCAGCAGCCCCCAATTCCTCCGCCTTTTCCAGCAGCTCGCTGATTCATCCGATTCGGATTTCGCCCCGTCTGTACCCTTCAACCCATTTACTCCGATCAAAGCCTCTGTCATGGCGATTCCCACGATTAAAGTCTCCTCCGCCATGCTCGAGGAAGACCCAATTCTAATTTGTGCTATTTGCAAGGATAAGTTCCTTCTTGAGGTGGAAGCCAAACAGCTCCCCTGTTCTCATCTCTACCATCCTGATTGCATTCTTCCATGGCTTTCAAATCATGATTCGTGCCCTCTTTGCCGCTATAAGCTTCCTTCTGATGAACCTTCGGATCATGTGAGATGTAGAGGAGCAACTATGGCCTTGTTGAGGGCTAGGGACCTGATGCCTCAAGAAGATAGTTATGGGTTGAGGACTACTCTTGAACATATGGCTAGAAGGCATAGTTCTATTTTTAGTGAAGGAGTTCAAGTGGATTCGTCTCAATCTCCCACTCAGTTGGGGGTTGCTGTGATGGGAAATGGGGAACAGACTGACAGTGTTGAGACTGTTTCTAGTGTGGCTACTGATGATGGGATTGTAATTGTCAATAGCAGTGGTGATGAAAATGGGTTTGTGGTAATGGATGGACCAATAAACGAGGATGCTGGCACCTTAGCTTAGGATATTGGAGTTTCTCCTTCGAGTTTTGTTTCTGCAAATTTGAGGTTTGTGTTCTTCCATTTTACTGCTGTTCTTTATTTGTTCTTCATGTTCTTGTAGTTCATGTTGATGTGGGGGATTTCTAAACTGAATTTGGAATGAACAGAGCTTATATTTGATTTAAACTAAGAACAGATAGAGTGGCTTGTGATTGAGTTGAGTTCTTAGAGCTTTAGAACTTATTGACTGGCAGGTTTGATACTCTTTTCAGGATTTATGATATCTGTTATTGGGCTTGTTACTTGAAACATCCATTTAGAGCATCTTGGTCATAGATAAGGATTGAAGCTTGATCCAAGCTTTCAGCTCTTAGTTCCTACCGATGGCTCTTTGGGTGATAGGCGGCGATGATGCAAAAAGATGCAAATTTGAAACCATTTAACAAAGCCCGTGATGAACATTTCCAGAATTTTTTGAACTCCTATAGAAAAAGCTAACCCCGAGTTGGATCAGATTGACCACTTTTAGTTCCTTCCTTAAAACCTATCTCAGCCTCTTTTTCTTTTCCCCATCAAGTATTTTGTTTCTAGAATGAGAAGATTTAGAGCCCGAAGTGCCTGAAAATGGGGTTTTAATGCTAGAAAAAGGGGTTTTGAGCACTTAAAGACTAGGTTTTTTGAGCTGGATGAACAAATCTTAGATGCTCGAGACAATAAAACATCTTTTCAATCCAAAAATCAAGGAGGAAATATGCTGTGAGATCCCGTATCGATGGGAGAGGAAAATAATTGTCAGCGTCCTCGCTGGGCCCCAAAAGGGGGTGGATTGTAAGATCCCGTATTGGTTGGGGAGGAGAACGAAGCATTGTTTATAAGGATGTGGAAACCTATCCCTAGCAAACGTGTTTTCAAAACCTTGAGGAGAAACCTGAAAAGAAAAGCCCAAAGAGAACAATATATGCTAGCAGTGAGCTTGAGTTGCAAGATGGGTGTGCTTTTAACTTTGTAGAATATTTCTGGCATGCCTTCTTTATATTTGATGATCATAGGATTAAGTGTACCATCATAGCATATTTCTGGCTTATCTTAACTATATAGTCCTTCAGGCTCTAGCCTAATCTGTCTGGATAACCTTAATATACAAAACTTAGCATTGCAGTAATTGTGTACTGGCTTAACACATCTCCAAATCATGTCTAAAAGATCAAATACTTGTTATTCTTTTTGAAAACGAAAACGTTTGTCGTTCTTTACCTTGCATAACGTCTTTCGTGTCATGTTTTTATGCAACTACTGAGCTCCTATGAACTGCTAGAGTAAGATTTCTGGTTCTACTGTCTGAAAAACAACCTCAAATATGACAAGCTTACTCGAAGAACAGGATCTGTTCTGCCCTTAAGTTCTAAAAAACCGCATTCTTTGTGTTCTGTTTGCTTATTTGTAGTGTCATTTATTTATGACTGCAGGTAATGTAATAGGATATGGTTGTTAGAGGAATCTTAGAGAAGTACCACAAGTAGGTGATTGATTGGAAGTGTAAATTGCTACGGAGAAGGACTCTGCTTCTTCTTCTTCTTGTTCATCTTTGGTAACAATGTCTCTGCATAATAAGAGTTGAACCTTATTTACAGTGTTATCAGCTGCCAATGTTTCCCTCTCCCTTCTTCCCCAATTCTCTGTTTCAGTCATGGTTTGAGTCAATGAATATACATCTATATCCATCTCTGTTATAAAGCTCACCACTTTGAATACTATTTTGATCCTTTCGAACTTGTTCGTGTAATAAATCTTAAAATTAGTCTTCGTCTTCATCGATAGAAATAAGATTGACGTACGCTAATTATTACTTATTGGAAAGTATGAGTCTTTATATTCATGAGTGATCGGGTCGTTTGCTTGTACTTTAATTATATACTCGTTAAATAACGTCTTGATCATATTGTATTTGATTGTCAAGGTAACTCATATTGTAATTTTAGTTAGGTAGTCACTCTTTGCTTCATTTCCCTCGGATTTTGTCGTTTTTTTTTTTCATTTCTTCTATTCATAAGATAGCTTTTAATCTACGTTCTAATTGATTTAGCCGCGTCCGAATCTGTTGTATTCTGTAGAGATCTAGTATGATTCGGCTTGGAAAGTAGTATTTCGACAGTAGGGGCATGGCATAGGTCTTCGCCTCACTTTTTGGGCAAGTTCACGGGTCAATGTTTTTGCCTACCCCAACTGATAGTAATTGGGTTTCCCTCCAAATCAAAAGCAAAATGGTTTGCCTCTTAGGTCGAGCCATGGTGGGGAAGGTTTCTACATGAATTGAGGGTGGATATTATTCCATGAGGAATATTTAGTTGGTAGAGAAAAACAAAATTCCAGTTTGCTTGGAAGCGTCAACTGTTGAGGGGCAGGCTTCAACTTCAACTTCGACTTGGACCCGCCCACCATTTGTGTAATGTGCGAAGGAATATGCGATGTGGGGGTGGGGGGGGGGGGGGG